TCTAATGCCAGTGAAAACAATAATAGCAGTGACAAAACAACAAACAAGATCTTGGAGGATGCACATGTTAAGAATGAAAAGTGAGTTCCGAAAGGAATTAGGTTTCAACTGTAATATTCCTATAAAGCGGCTAAAAATGTCATCTTACAGTTCTATATGTTCTATTTTGAATGTTTTCTTCATTTAAGAATATAATTTACCAATAAGCTTTGGTCTTGAACACTTAATATATGAATCAAAGTAGGCTCTCTCATTTAGTTTTGCAATAAGAACAGAGCTAAGAATTCTGTTTATTTGTAACCCAGAACTGTCCAATATGTTCAGACCCAGATACATAATATTGGCCCAGCAAAAACAAAAAACAAGTATTTGTGAGAAAAATATCAACAAAAGCAGATATTTAATTAAAGCTATTTTCATTCACCTAATTTTCTAATTATAAACAAATTTCAGTATTGAATTTTTACCTGGAATATATCAGATAAGGAATCATATATATCAAATGAAGTACAGTAATGTACTTCACGTCTGAAATCTTTCAGTATGTACAAACCAATGAGCAGGAATTAAAAATAGATAAATAAAAAGCAGATTTCTGCTGAATCTTTTCTTACTGCCAGTCAAATATATTGAAAAGTTACCCAGATTTTCCACATATCCATGGCATTAGTTTACATTTACTGAAGCTTTGACTTATCACAACAGTGCTAACTACTGGGAAGAAATTTCATTAAACTTCTGAGAGATTAGAATAGATTAATATTTTGCATTTTACAAGCTAGGAATTGAGAAAATAGAATGAGGATCAAAGATCCAAAATACTGCATAGGTGCATAAAACTGAGAGTAATGAAAAACAAATAACGTAACTGCTTGCAGAACCGAGAGGCTACCTGTTTTCTCCAGGGTATATAATTTTCTGTCTGGAGTTTTGCTGCATCATATGTGCAAAGATGCTGCCATCTTAGAATGAAAATAAATATCTAATTTGCTGTGTGGATAAATATTCACTAACTCAAGTCCTTGCACTTGTGAAATGTAGGGTCTCAATCTAAGAGGAGCTACATCATACAAAGAAGCCCTGAGTTCAGTTCAAACCACCTTCCCTTACACCAGGTTGAAAACCTTATATATTATTCTTTGCTGTTTTCTTTCTTTCTTTCTTCTGGATTCTCCAGGGCTTTGACGGGAAAGTCTGTAGACTTGCCTATGCAGTATTTCTCTGTAGTGCTGTCTGCAAAAAGGGAGGTCCTACTCAAATTAAAAGTTTAGGCTAAATAGCCAAGGTAGCTGACACCAGGACTCAGATTTCCCTCTCTGATAGGGGTACCTAAAGGGAGGAAAATGCAGTTTTCTAGCCTCAGGCTACTGAAATACACTTTTTTTTTTTTTTCCCTTACTTGTCAAAATTATGTCAGCATACTGGTTCTTTTAATCCAATGTATCAGTTTATAGCTGATTTTATAACTGGTTCAAGGCTGTGAATTGTTTTAGCTTAAAAGATGCTGAAAAGTTAGGAGTAGCAATGTTCTTGTATGTAGTATCCAGTTCCCATTTATGAACCTCAAACCGCTTCTCCTTTAACTCTCTCTCTATATTTTATTTCTTTTTTTAAAAAAAACTTCAATAGTTTAGTCACGTACTTATTTCTCTTTACTTTTTATGCAAGGGTGATTTGAAAAGAGAGTATAAGGTTTAGAACTAAACATAGGTATGTGTTTTTCCATGGTAATGTATTCAAGGAACTGAACTGACCATGCATGAATAAATCAGTCACTAAAAAAGTAGGACATTACAGTACTGGAAACTAGGACATATACTTAAATACTGTCCTTTGATACATGTAAGTAAAATGTAAAACTTCTTGTGGATGAATAGAAAGCACATGCAGCTTTTAAAAGTAATATTGATACTATAAATATTTGTGCCTATGAAGTTTTGAGCATGGAATTAACTCTTCTATTCATCCGCTTCACTTCAAAACATTATGAATATTAATGTAATATTAATGAACTATCATTGCAGTTAAATGACTCAGTTATCATCCACTTTGTCATTATTAATGTTGAAAATTATATCATTGATGTATAAAAGAGATCACGCTGCAGGCCACATACTATTTTTCCTAGTAATGTGAGAGTATCAGCATAAAATAATGCTAGCTATAGAACCGTAGTAGTTGACTATGTGTTATTTCCTGAACAAATGCCACCAAGCCTGGCACATAAAATCAGAACTGAAGTATTGCAATAGAGACAATACATAAGGTCCATACATGGTCTGAAAAGTTTATATACTGAAGAAGTTTATGTGCTGGCTATGGGGTAATGTTCTGACCACAAAATTCCAAAGACTGGACTAATAGATGCAGAATTGTACTGGTAGGTGCATAACTGGTAAGGCCTAACATAAATCATTGAAGTTTTATTATTTGTGTATATCAGGTACAATATTCCAGGGTTGAATCAGACTGGGGATAAATGAAGAATGTGGGGATACAGACATGCCTAAAATAGTCAGAGGATAACTGCATTAATCTATTCAACAGTTCTGTGTATGGCATTGCTCACAGGAATCCTTCATACAGTGTTGTAAGACAGGACATGTAACCCAGATAGAAAGAGAAATATCAGTTTATGAAGGATCGAGGTCTGTGACAGGAGATGAATGATCTTTGTGTCCTTCTATTTACACATAAATCATGACTCTGCAGAGAACAGAGACAAAGTCCGCAGAAGGACTTCTAGAAGGGGAGATGATAGGAAAAAAAAAAAAAAAGTGATATAAAGGTAGGATTCTGCTTTTTCGCAACATGTTTGTCTCAGAAATTGTTCATATTACTGTACGAGACTGGGGCAGACATTACAAATTTAAAACAATAGATACTGTGTTTTAGGTCATTCACAAATATCAGAGGAAGAGTCCTTTCTGGTTAAATTAACTGCCATAACATGCAGAGCATTCTTCATTTAAATACCACACAATGTTCTGTTAATTCTTATTCACTGTGTTACAGCTCTCTGCAATTGACTTCATTAGATGAGTTTTCTGGACCAAACTAGCAATCTGTACCGCTTAAAGCTTTCAGGTAGTTCTGGGACCACCTCTTCTGTAGTCTCCCTAATCCTGACTCCACATGTATTCTTTGTTTAAATCTGTTACCAAAGTATCAAAAGCTTAAACTCCCCACAGGAAGATGATTTTGCAGGAGAGAGAGAAAGAAAAAAAAAAAAAAAAAAAAAAAAAAAGCAGCTTAGCAGCTTCTCAAATGGAAACAGACTTCTGTGTGGTTGCATAGAAAAAGAAGTCTACTCATCAAGACATCTTTTCATGTAGAAGAAAAAGTGGCATGATTCATCATCTGTTGTAACTTACTGCTTGTATTCTAACATTGAAGCCCTGTGGAAATCAACCTTCTCCAAAGTTAGATATCCTCTTGTCTCACTGTGTTAATATGTGCTTGACAAAAGATATGTGTTTCTCTTCACTACACCTCCAGTTATAATTCCCTGTCTGACAGCAGAAAAACTGAAACACGGAAAGATTGTATTCAATGAACCTCAAGGTACAGGTGTCTGGTTTCTGCAGTGAAATACAAAATTCTAAAATAATTGTTTAATGTTGTATTGTAATACGTAGGAAAAGCATGTGGTTTTAAGTAACGACACAGATTTACAAGCAATTAAACTGGAAGGAGTTTACCTCTGGTTAGCTGTATTAAGAAACCAGTAAGTGTGAGAACTGGTCTGCAATTTGTAGCTTACCTACTGGGTATAGCCCTGACTTGGGGGTTTGCCTGCCTGGGGTTTGCAGCTCACAGAATTCCCTAATAAATTTGCTACTCAATTTACTACTTAGTATTATCATTTAAGTTCTTAAGTACTTAAGCACTAATAAGTCCGAGTCTTTTACTATATAGAAAATTAAGAGAGAGGATTATTTTGCATTCCAATGTGAAAGTTTTAAGAAATATTTTTGAAAGCTTTATTGCTGTGTCCCCAGCCTTGTTTCATTAAAATTCATTTATTTATTTATTTATTTATTTATTTAGTTAGTTAGTTAGTTAGTTTTGTCTACCAAAGGTAAGTTGCTTTATTCAATGTTGGACATCAATGTGGCCTATCTGTTTGTTAATTCAGTGAAACATTTTGCATGAAGAATCAAAAGGAGACCAAGAAGAAACAGATTGTCATTTTACAAGTTAAAGATTAAAAAAATATATATTATTTTTATGTTTCTCAAATCTGAAGAGACAAAAAACTTGTTTTAAATTAGAGTTCATCTTAGTAGGTACCTTTATCATTAATCTTTATGCACTTGGAAAAAAAAGTCTATCGAATGTTCTGACAAACTTAGGAAAGGTTTTCCTTGGTGGAGTATGAATTACCGCTTGTAAAGAGAATGATTAATTTGTAGGAAAAATAGAGTAGAAAATATTTAGATAATTATTTGATTCAAAGCACAAGCGATGCCTTTTGTAAATGACTGGATACCTTTCAAGTCAGAGTATTGCAAGTCCTGAAGGCCAGGGGGCAGATGTCATCTTACCTGTTCACACTTCAACCACCAACTTTCTATCCAATACAAGGCTTTGGGAGAAAACTCTAGCTCAAGGGGTAGAGTAATTCATATACCTCTTTGTAAATGTGAGACAAAACTGAATTCCTCAAAAACAAAAAAACACCAACAAAACAAACAACCCACTTGCATGGCATATCTATTTCAGAAGTACAGTGTATCAATAACACATTGGAGAGTATCCATATGCTCTTAGGTATTGAATCACAGAATTGCTGAGGTTGGAGGAGACCTCTAGAGATCCTCTAGTCCAACTCCCGCTGACTCAAGCAGGAACACCTAGAGCATGTGACAGCAAGATCTCCAGGGTAGAAGAAGGGACTCCACAGCCTCTCTGGGCAGCCTGTGCTAAGGTTCTGCCACCCTCACAGTTTTTTTCTCATATGGAGATGAGACTTCCTTTTTTTAAATATATAAACATTCTGCTGAAACCCAGGCTTGAACCAGGGACCTTTAGAGCTTCAGTCTAACACTCTCCAAACTGAGCTATTTCAGCTCATGGGTTGAAAACTTTGTAGGAGAGTTTTTGTAAAAGATTAATGATTAAAATAAAATCTAAAATTATGACAGGAAGAAAGGTTTTTTGTTTGTTTGTTCTGTTTTTTTTTTTTTTTTTTTTTTTTTTTTTTTTCAGGATAAACTTTGCTATGAGTTACTAGGACCATGTACCAGGTAAATGTTTTAATACAAACTTTTAGCATGGATGTTACAAGAAAATTTTGGTGTAAGTGTATGTCACAGTAGAATTTGCAGGGAGGAGGTATTTTTAATATATCCATTCTTCACATTTTATTTATCAGAAGCAATCTTGAAAAACAATTGCTTGTTCAAGACTCAAGTAGTAAAATGACTCTTGTGTATACGGTAGTAAGTAGTCGCTATCAAGGAAACTCAAAACACATTGTAAAATGGAAATAGTGAAGTCAAGCAGGGAGGAAGAGTGTCTGGGTTTTACTTAGTATATAAAGCTCACATTATTCATCTATGTGGTTGAATATCTAAAGGAAAGTGCGTGCATAGCTATCATAAGGATAAGATAATAAATGGATCATAAATTGAGGTGTTTTGTGTTATTCATTTATTTATTTAAATTTTATTACTGAGAGAGTATATTGCATTCCAGATATGCTAGGTAAGCAATATAACAGATTTAGTGTCCCCTGAGTTTTGCCCTTGAGTAATATTCTTCTTTTAAAATAGATCCAGAATATGGGAATACAAAATGTCATATTTGTTTAAGTTCAAAGATAAGATGATGGCTGACATCCTCAGGGTTTGTATCTACTTAATACAATCTGATTATCAAATTATAAAAACTTGCAAAGAAATGCTACCCCCAATGATACTTAAGTCCCAAAGAAAATGGTAATCAGAAGTAAAAGGAAAGATTTATATATTACTTTCCTTTCTTCTGAAGTAAAGTACACTTCAGAATTTCACGCAAACTCTCAATTTCATAATGAAAATAAATACCAAAACTAACACAAATACAAAATCTGATTATACAGTGTCTTCCAAAGATAAAATCTTCATTTATATAAGTTCTCAATCAAGTTGGTACAGGGTCATATTTTATATACTTTGATTCATGATGAAACACATAAGGCAAATTGGTTTAATCATTTAAGTACATAAATAATAAAGCTAATTGTAAGCCTTGCCACTGCAAGCATCCCTTGGTGGATAACTAAAAAGTACTCCAGTCTATCCAAAACTTTTCATCTCCTCTGATTACAAAAGAAGCTTATAACCCTAACTTAGACAAATAGGTTAGTACATCCAGTGCACCTGGTGCAATAATTTAACAAATCAAAAATTAGGTGGAATGTTCCTTATAATCATTCTATTTAGAACACACATATACATTTTTTTCTTCCAAAAAGTTAAATCATAAATTTGCTATTCTATTTTCTCTTTTCTGAGTGTCTGTGAAATAATTATTATCTCATAGCTTGCTCTTGAAATAGTCACATGGTATTCATGAATAATTCTTATATTCAAATTCAATAAATTCAATCTCTCTCTTTTTTTTTTTTAATCTCAGCAAGATTCACTGATATTTGCTGTCAATGAACAAACAGTTTAAAAAGCAGTTCTTATTTGTAAATACATTCAGGGAGGGAGTGCAGAGGATGGGGATGGTCTCTTTTCAGTGGTGGCCACTGATAGGACTAGAGGAAATGGCCGGAAACTGAAACATCAAAAATTCCATAGGAACTTAAGGAAAAATTTCTTACCAGTGAGGGTGCCAGAGCATTGGAACAGGCTTCCCTGAGAGGTTGTGGAGTCTCCTTCTCTGGAGATCTTCAAAACCCGCTTGGATGCAGTCCTGTGCCACGTGCTCTAGGTGTCCCTGCGTATGCAGGGGGGTTGGACTAGATGATCTCTAGAGGTCCCTTCCAACCCTAAGCATTCTATGATTCTATGATTCTACTGTGGCACTATATTCCAATAAACGACAGCAAGGGAAAATGCGAAATCTTATTTATTGGCCATGATTTTGCAAATCTTATCCCAAAACGAGTTGCTAAAGTGTTAATGTAAAAGACTTTGCATTGTCTGGAGTTGGTCTGTGGCTGTCTTCCTGAAGAGCTATTTTTAGGTTGCTGTTGGCTTACAAGGCAACCAGCTGAAGGGTTGAAATCACATGAACTTTTTCCAGGATATTTATTTCCTTTCCTGATTTTCCATATTTCTTTAACATTTTATGGAAAGAAAAAGCAACACCTTTTTTAAAGACATAGCTAAATTATACATTAGCTACTATCAATATTTCACTTGCTTACTGCTTTGCAGGCTATTTTGGCTGGATATTCAGGATATGAATGTGTTATCTGATAATTCATGTGCGTATGCAATCTAATTACCATTGTTCTTGTAGTGGGAATTTTCAGAGCATTATTAAGTTTTTCTTAATTTATTTCGTTAATTTAATATATTGATACGTTTCCTCAGGTCCACAAACTAGAGCTGAACTTCTGCCTCAGATGACCCTCCGAAATATAATATCATCCAAAGAAGTCTTTTAATTCTCAAAAAAACTGTTTCACAACACTTAATGACTCAAAATACAAATATTCCATACTATCTGGCTTCTTAATTGGATATCTAGCCTTCCTTTTAAATGATTTTGCTCATTTGTGCAGATAGGAAAAAAAAAAAAGTTTTATTATTTTATTGAAAAAATATAAGCAGAAAATTATCACATGAATATGAAAACATTACAAATAAGCATGTCAATAGAAATATGTCTCAAATATTTATAAAATAAATGTATGATTTATAAATGTGCATCACAGGAGCAGATATAACTGAAATATTTCTGAGCTGCACATAGTCTCCCTAAAATGGATTAATTTAAGACTTTAAAGAGCTTGTAAGAGGAATAGTTTCTAACATACAACACCAACATTTTCTGGGAAAATAAATTGTGTGGTTGTTTTCTGGGGCAGGGTGGTGGGTGAAAGGGCGGTTGCCTTTGTTTCCAGATCTTTGGTAGATTGAAATTGCCTTCAAGAAATCTTTCATCCCCCACTGAGACTAAAAGAACTTAAAGCTTCTTAAGGGAGGCAAGATGAATCTGGCCAAAATGTACAAAGCTTACCACATGCTGTATGCTTTTATGATGTACTGTGGAAAAAAAAAAAAAAAAAAAAAAAAAAAGGAGAAGAAGAAAAACAGACATTTCAGCTCAAGTACGCAATTTTGCACCCAATTTCAAGTGAAGTGATACAACAAGGTGACTAGGAGGAAACCCATGAGTCTGGCTATCCCAAAGTCTATTTAGTCATGAGCGAGAAATCCTACTATACCGATCAGGCATATGTCTTGGTTTGGCAAAACAAATAATTTATAATAGACTTAGAATATTTGTGTTTGCCCAACAAAGAATAGTGAAGATCTTCTAAGGCATGTTTAACAAACCAGTTTAACAGTTGTGTTTAATGTGCAAGTTCACAGTACTGAACAATCATAAAAAAAGAAAAAGGTCTGGGTTTCCATGAAAAAAGACATTCTTTGTCAGTAAAAACATGTAACTTGAGGAATGATGTAGCAGTAGTTACTTAGACATGCAAAAATGCATGCACTCTGAATTATTCAGTAAATCTTAGCATGCATAAGACTGCAGAATCATATCCGCATCTTGGACTCTATTATCTTGGACTCGGAGAAATTCATGATGTGAATCATTTAAAAACATCTGAATGAGCGTATCTTATTTAAAGAATGGGTAGATAGCTTGCAAGTGAATTTTATTGATATTTATCTCTTTTTTTTTATGCCAGAAGTTGCATCCACGCATACCACATTTGTTCTCTCTTTGCAGGAAGAAAAAGTTGTAGCATTTCATGAATTCTACTCATCACACGTACTTTTTTTCTTAATGCCTCATTCTCCACGAGGAAATAATGAGAATTTCTGCTTTCCTTGAATAATTTTATTTCTGGTTTTCACTCCAGCACAGAAAAGCTTGAGAGTATGTTTTATTACATCCTAAAAATTAAAAAGAAAATGTGCTTCCCAGAGCTACTATTGCCTTTAAGCTGTTTCTTGATTTCAAAGAGCGAGCCATTACTTTCAAGTATGCCAAATTAATATTTCTTGGATGGAATATGGTTTCTCATACGTGATGATTTTAGGATTGATGTGAGAACATATTTAATTTTTTAAAGTTATGAATACATGCATACAGACACAGAAATATGTGTGGGAGGGTTTAATTGTCTACGTGTGCATATACATATTTTATTGAGACTACTGCTTAACACATTTTAAACACATGCAGAAATTGATGTAAATCCATAAAACTTATTTTATATTCATGTAGTTTAAGACCAAGGGAATCTGGCTGAGGAAAAACATTGCAAAAAAAAAAAAATATTCATAAAGATGGTGGAGGAAAAAGCTAGAGAAAAAATGATTGTAATCACAGAGTCCAATGAAAACCGAACATGCTCCCTACTTGTTCTTCCCATAATAAGATGGATGTGAGGATTGTTTGAAATCTGTGAGGCTTATTTTATCCAAGAACCATCTGTAGATTTCACAGTCACAGAAGCTCAGCAAGATGCCAAATACAGTTAAACTAAAAATAAATGAACAATAAACTGCTGACCACTAGCTATGAGATCCTGGATAATAGGAGTCATAAAAGTATTATGCTTCAGCAAGCTTATGACCTGAGATGGTCATGAAGAATTATATTGCTACACCTCTTGAAGTTTTAATTATTGGAGAAATGTTATTACCTTCCTGGAAAAATAGGGGTAGCTGTGTCTCAGGCTCATCTGGTGTTGCACTCAAACTTATGGCTCATGGTAAGTCACTTTCCGTGTGCATTGTGCTGTGCTTCAGGCTCCTAGGTCTTTGGTTATTCGTATTAAGAGCTATACAGAGAGCTTTATAGATCCCGTCTGCAGCAGATACCCGGCATGCATTGGTGGGAAAGTCAACAAGAGTGAATGTGTTTATCTGGGACAGCCCATACAGACTCGC